GGATAGGTATGACTAGGCTGGTTTTGTAGGATTGCGGGATGAAGTTGTTAAAAATGGTATTAAATAGGTTTGTGATTCTGGTTTTTAGTACGTGGGAGGTGTTTTTGATCATGGGGTAGGATATTCTATTAAGGCCAGGAGTGGTTCCTCTAAGGGAGTGTAGTGCAGCTAGGAGTTCTATTTGTGTAATATCAGATTCTATTGTCCGTGCTGTCTCACTGGGAATGTAGTTGGTTGGTTTGGCTGTGTATTTGTTGTCGGTGAAGTTTTGGTTGAAGTTTTCGTCTTTGGAGTGGTCTGACCAGTGTTGAGCAAAAAGTTGAGTTATGTGGGATGTGTCTGTCGTGAGAAGGTTGTTATTTGGATCTGTGATACTATGTATGGTTTTTGTTGGATTAAGTCCCCAGAAACGTCTGATGTTTGACCAGATTTAGTCTGACGGGGTGTTGGGTGAAATTGTGGATGTGAAGTCTGTCATAGCTTTATTTTTTGATATTTTTAGCTCTCTCCGGAAGAGTGCATTAGCTCGTTTGTATTTAATGAGATTTTCTGTACTGTTAAAGTGTTTGAAGGTTTGCCAGGTTTTGAATTTATTTGTCCTAAGTTTGGTCAGGGTCTTATTCCACCATGGGGTGTTTTTGCTGTAGTGTTGTGGGGTTGTCTGAGGTATACTATGATGGGCTGATTGTAGGATTATTTTGTTGAGGATTGGCGCTTCTTTATTGATGTTTGTACTGTTAGGTATAAGTTCGCTTATATCATTGGTTAATTTTGAGAAAAGTTGCCAGTCTGCTTCTTTTGTTTTGAACAGGGGACGAGAAAAGTTTGTTGTTTGAGATTGCGGGAACAGGGAGATTAGGATTGGGAAGTGATCACTTCCATGGAGGTCTTCGAGTATTTTCCAGTTAGTGAGGTGGGTGAGTTGGGGACAGCATAACGAAAGGTCTATATGGGTGAGTGTGTTGTGAGTTGAGAAGTGGGTGGGTGAGCCGTCGTTAAGTATAGTGAGGTTGGCGTTTTGGATAAATTTGGATAGGATTCTGCCTCTTCTGTTGTCTTGATGTGATCCCCAGGAGTGGTGCCAGCTATTGAAGTCGCCTAGTATAATTTGGTTGGTGTTGGTATTGTGGGTTTCAAACTGGTCGCTTAAACATTTAAGTGAAAAAGTTTTGTTGGGAGGAATGTATGTTGAAAAGATTCTGATTTTTGTTTTGGACATGATCTCTATTCCAAGAGTTTCTAGGGGTCTAGGTTGGTTTAATTGAGTGTGTTGTACGGATTTGTGGACTAATATGGCTACTCCACCGAATCGGTTGGAGGCTGTATTTGTATAGATTTGGTAATTTATTGGGACGGGGATGAAGGTATTTGTGTTGTAATAATGGGTTTCTTGGAGGCAAATGACTTGTGGTGAGTATTTTTTTATTATAGTTGAGAGTTCACTGTAGTTGTTTGTGTAACCCTTGATGTTCCATTGAAGTATTATGAGTGACATTTTTGACATTTGGGTGTTATGGGTTTGGTTTAGGCTTAGGTTAAATTAAATTGATAAATTAAATAGGTTATGAGTGTTATGGGTTTTGTTTGATTTAGGTTTAAGTTAAGGTTAAGTGTTAAATTAAATTAAGTTTTTTTTTTTTATATGTAATCGCTTTCGCTGTTGTTTGTGTATTTGTTTTTGTTTGAGGTTTTGGATTTGGTTTTAGTGTTTGGTTTGGTTGTTTTGAGGGTGGTAGAAAGATTGTTAGACTTATCTTTAGCATATAGTTTGATTTTTAGGACTTCTGTGAGGAGTGATGTGTATGGCTTGTTTATTGCTTTGGTGTGGTGGGTGATGTCGGTATCCATGTCTTCTGGTTCGATCAAGTTAGGTTGCTGTGCAGATGTTGGTGATGGTGCTGGTGGTGTTTTGGTTGATGATGTTGTGTAAGAGGCTGCATTGAGTCTGCTGTGAGCGTGCAGTGCAGCTGAGATGGTTTGGTGTGTTGTTTTAGTAGGGGGTGTGAGTTGGGTGATTGGCGATGTGTTTGTTGGCGTATGCGTATTTGGTTTATTTGGTGCTTGCGTGATGGTTGAGTGTTGTGTTGTATTGGTGAGAGTTTTTGCATAAGATGTTCTGACGTGTTGGCCGTGTCGGTTGTTATAGATGTTAAGTGCGGTTTTGTGGTCTGTTTTTTCTGTAATTTTTATAGCTGTTAGTTCTTGTTGTTTCAAGAATGCAGGGCATTTGCGGTCGAGGGGGCTGTGTTGCTGATCGATATCCGGATTGTTTCCGCAGTTAAGGCAATTTTTTTCGTTTTTGCAAAGTTCGTTCTCATTTGTATGTTTTGCGTTTGAGCAGTTTATGCATGTTTCTATGCCTTTACATACTGGTGTTGGATAACCAAAACGGAGGCACTTTCTGCATCGTAGGGGTAAGGGGATGTACGGGCGCACTCGGACTGTTTCGTAGCCGATTCTTATTTTTTCTGGGAGATTCAAGGTTCCGAAAGTTATTATGATGAGTCCAGTTTCTATTAGCATAGTGTTGTTTTCAGCAGAGTTTGTGTTTGTTGGAGGTTTTTTCAAGATTTTTCTAACTTCTGTTACATGTTGTGTTTTTAGTTCCATGAGTATTTCATTTTCGGCTATGCCGCGCAATTCGTTGCAGTAAATGACTCCCTTTGTGGAATTTAGAGTTTTGTGTTCGGTGGCAGTGATTTCAATATTTGTCATTAGTTTTAGTCTTAGTAGTTTGATGGCTTGTAATTTGTTTTTTGTTTTGATTAAGAGTGAGCCGTCTTTTGTTTTCTTGCATGTTTCAACTTCCCCATCGCAAGCGAAGTCAATTGTTTTTTTGATAACGAACGGTGAAACGTTTTCAAAAGTGTTGTTGTCGTTTCGTTTTATTGTTATGTACTTGGGTTCGCCTAGGTTTGTGTTGTTGGATTTTAGTCCGTGTGTTCTTATGTCCGGTGGTTCGTGCATGTTTGTTATTGTTGGGCATATGCCCGCGATAACTGTTGATGCTGTTTTTGTTGTTGTGTTTTTCGTTTGCGTTTAGTGTTTGAAGTTTGTTGAACTTTGTGTTGGTTTTGATTTGCTGTTTGTCGCGGTTTTAAGTTTTGCTGTAACACGTCTTATCTCTTCGGAGGTTGAAGTGGTACTGACAAAAAAGTTATTTTTATACCCCGTACCCATTAAAAATGGGCAAAAAGGGTATTTGTGCAAATGTATGTAAAAGGCAGAAGGAAGCATCTCCGACCACATAAAGTATATATATTCTTGATCAGCATCAAAAGCCGAGTCGATCTAGCTATGTCCGTCTGTCTGTCCGTCCCTCCGTCCGTCTGTATGTATGAACGCAAGGACCTCAGAACCTATAGGAGCTAGAGACTTGCAATTTTAGCCGTAGGTCCTCCTAGTACCCGCGCAGATCGAGTTTGTTTTCCATATTCGATAACTTGCCCCGTTTCCAAGTAATCGATAAAAATCGATATCGAAATCCTGTTTTTTGAGCAATTTTGGTAAATAATAAGAGTTAAAGTCACCAAACTTGACATGTAGCATCTAGAATAGTATATAAATATCAAGAATCTTTCGTTTTATAGCTAACACTACCGCCCCGCTACTACCACATAGCTATAAATCAAGTAAATAAACCAATTTATGCTGCCCACCAATATTAGCCACAATTTAAGTGTAATTGACTTTTTGAGAATACAGAAATATTTTATAACACAATAAGATGTACTGTAGAATATTTCATCAGGATCGGATAAGAAACACAGAACTTATTAAAGAAAAAGTGTTTTGGCTTTCCTCGTATTAGCGGCAGCAAGCGCAAATTCTAAGAATTTCTATATACATGTACACACACACATTCATGCGCGCCTACTTTGACTTCTATCAACAGCATTGCAATTGCGATTGTATTGTTTTCTGTGCAGCTATTTTAATTGATTTTTTTCTCATTAAGACTCAATTATTGGTGGGGCCCTGGAGTAGAGGCGGCGGCAAGTGGTGCGGTCTGTTGCGTGTTCGAACCCTGCCAAGGGAACTTTTTTTTTTTAATTATCTATATTATTACTAAAGCAAACGAGCGCATAGAGCCAGCTGCATTTGGTGTTGGAATAACGGGGTTCAGGGTATTCCTTGTTCGGGAGCTCCCGACTCGAACCTCATACTTGTTTTAGTTTCTTAGAATGAAGATAAGGTTCAAATTTCTTAAAAATTGGCAGCTTATTTAAGTTTTAACAAGAAATATAGCTTCATTAAAACAGACCCTGTTCTTTTCGCTAGGTATTTCAATTTTCGGAAAGGAAGGCGGTGTTTTTGGAGGTCTCACGGTCATTAAGTATAATTGGCGAGTTGACTTCTGCAAAAAGGCTACCCCACATTCCTGGTATGTTTTGGCTGAAAGATGCACTAAAAGTTGACTTGACTCATGAATCAAGCACTCCGCCTACAAAGTCCTTTATTGTTCAGCTTAACACAACTGAAACATTTTTGGAGTATCCAACTCACAATCACGGGCACCATGTAGGCGAGCAGTTAGGGCAAAAAAAAAGTATAGATTTGGTTTACTGCACCCTCCCATTCCCAAAGAGAAATTCTATACCCATTAGAAGAGAACGCTGAAAATAAAGATGTACATCGAAGAAATTATGATCGGGGCGTTTTAATATATCCGGTTGATAGTGAAACCATAAATTAAGTGATTCTTTTTGTGCCACGATCAACTTAGCACTTAGATCGATAATTAGAAGCCCAAAGTATATCTAAAGCGATCATTTCCAGCTATTAAGCTTAACGCTTATAATACTCACTTTCTCTACTGCAGCGAGGCAACATAGATATCCAGTTAATATTAGATCCCCATGCTTGATGAAGTTACGTTGTTAATTATATTAACAAGTCCCAAAGAAAAATTTCAAAAAATTTAGGTACCCTATTACCTATTTGCAATAAATTAAATTATTATGGCATAAATCCAATAATAACTTTTAAATTTACAGGTTAAATAACATGTCTGGAACATATGTTAATGGAAATGTGTCAGTACTTTTAACAGCACATGAAGATATTTTGCAGACAAGAAGGTCATTATTTTTGGGAAATCATACATTTTCGATTCCAATTAACTTATTAAATCATCCAAAAACCCTTGATATTAAAAGCGAAAAAGGTAAAATAATTTTTAATTTAAAAATAAAAAAAAATGCTAAGAACGGAACAGGAAAGATGTCGAAAGCAAGGTTGATTCCAACCTCAAATAATATGTTAGCAAGATGTCCAACCAATAACAAAACATTGTGCTTAAATATATTGGACAACAAAGTACCAGGTAAGCAATATAGTGGGATCTAGTCGACAGTGCTTATTCCTGTAGCTCCACAACATTTTTCGAATTAATTACAGTCTTTACTTGATACTCTTTCCGCAGTGTAATAACAGCTAAAAATGTCGGAAAATGTTTGATTATAGTGTCAGCGACTCCAAAACTATCGCCATAAACATATGTTTTTGAAAAGGTGACTATAGGAAATAATCATTTTTTCGACTGACCCTTTTAACAGAAACTCGCAGAACCCGTAGCCGAAATTCTAGAAAGAGCACTTGTTTATTTTTTGTATGCGCTGCAAGTGGGTGGAAAGGGTATAATGGTTCTAGTCGAAATGTATGTAACAGGCAGAAGGAAGCTTCTCCAACCCAATAAAGTATACATATTTTTGGTCAGCAACAATAGGCTAGTCGATCAAGCCATTTCCGTTCGTATGTATGTATGTATCTATGAACACGTCGATCTCAGAGCCTATAAGAGCTACAGAATTAAAATTTTAAACAAAGTTCCTCCAAATGCCCGCACTGTACGAGTTTGTTTACGGTAAATCGGTAAGCAAATTCTGTTTTTTGGGAAACTCTCTTAGGTTTTTAGGGCTGGAGTGACTAAATTTACATGTTGCCTCTAGAAAAATATATGCAGTATTAATTGTATTGCATTGCTAACGAACCCTCTCATCACGCTAATCAAATAAGTAAATTAGTTGAAACTTTCTAATAATTTTAGATACAATTTTAAACCGATGCCTTTTTGTGAATATGTACCTACTAGCGGGTATAGCCCGGCCTTGCCCGTGGCACGTATGTTATAAAATCAATGTTTTCAAAAAGCTTTGAAAATGATTTTGAAACTGATCGGACGGGAATCAAAAAATCTTAAAATTCACAAAAAAAAACTTTGAAATGCATTTTCCACCGAAGGAGTTTAGATTTTGCGAAAAATGTGAAACACGTCTCAAATGATTTTTCTTATAGATCTTTTGAAATAAATTTGACCACAAAACGTCATCCACCAAATCTTCGACCCCCATTTGCACCAAGGAGGAACGGATTTTTCGAAAAGTGTGACACACCCCTCAAATGAATTTGAACATAGATCTTTGAAAATGAGTTTGGGGCCGATCGGATGGTAAACAAAAAACTTTCATACAACCGTTTTCCGCCAATTTACTACTGTCGCCAAATCTTTGACCTCCATTTCCACCAAGGAGGAACGGATTTTTCGAAAAGTGTGAAACACCCCTCAAATGAATTTGAACAAAGATCTTTGAAAATAAGTTTGAGGCCGATCGGATCGTTAACAAAAAACTTTCATGCAACCGTTTTCCGCCAATTTACCACTCTTGCGGGTGGAATTTCCCTAATCGCTGAAATACGTATTTATTAAGTTCTTATGTAGAGCTTTGAAAATAAGTTTGAAGCAAATCGGACACAACTTAAAACTTCGCCCAAAAAGAGGAATGGTTTTTCCTAAAAGTGTGAAACCCCCCTCAAATAAATTTGAACAAAGACCTTTGAAAATAAATTTGAGGCCGATCGATTTTTCCACACTTGGTAACTACAGTGAAAATTTCAGCTTCCTAGCTGTTACGGTTTGGGCTGTGCGTTGATCACCAATCAGTCAGTCAGTCAGTCAGTCAGGACAAACAGTTTTATATATAGAGATATATACGTATACATATATATATCACAATATGATCTTATGCCGAGAATTTGATCAAGATCGACTGTGATGATGGCAATTAGTTCGGGTTCGCGATGGCAATTAGTTCGGATGCTTGGTGGTAGTTGCGAGTTCGACACCGGTACGGGGAACTTCTTTTCTTTTATTTTTTTTTATTTTTGGAAGCCTAGAAATGGAATTCTCTATAATTTGAATGGAAAAAGAGTCCCTGAATAATGCAAATAAATACGGCGAATTAAGATTACGCTCTACACCTGTTAACAATATGCTGTCTTCAGTTTGGGTACTTCGTTACTGAGGCTTTTTCTATGTTTATATTTCGTGTTAATTGTACAATGCAGTTTTCGATTAATATCAATTTATGGTGAGGAAAATTCCAAATCTTTGATTAAATATATATTTACCATGAATAGCAACTAGGAAAATTTGTCTCAATTCATTTTCGAACTCACCCTTCTTAGCTGTAGGCTCTAATTTATTGAAAAAACTGGCTGTGAAAAGGGGCACAGCTGACCGGACTGGCAAATAACCTATAAGAGCTAGAGACTTGAAATTTTAGGTATAGGTCCTCCTAATGCCCGCACAGATCGAGTTTGTTTCCGATATTCGATAACTTGCCCCAGTTCCAAGTAATCGATAAAATTTGATATCGAAATCTTGTTTTTGAGCAATTTTGGGAAATAATAACAGCTAGATTCACCAAACTTGACATGTAGCATCTAGAATAGTATATATATATATATCAAGTATCTTTCATTTTATACCTATCGACACCTCCCCGCCACCACCACAAAGCTATGAATCAAGTTAATTATCCAACTTGTATTGCCCATGAATTTAAGCCACATTTTAAATGCAATTGACTTTTTGAGAATACACAAATATTCTATATGCTATTCTAAAATAAGAAGTACTGTCGAAAATCTCATTAAGATCGGTTAAGAAACACAAAGGTTATGTGCGCACGTGTTAGCAGCAGCCAGCTAGCGCAAATTCCAAGAATTTCTGTATACATGTACACACACACATTCATGCGTGTCTTCTCTGAATTCTATCAACAGCATTGCAATTGAGATTGTATTGTTTTCTGTGCAGCTATTTTAATTGATTTTTTTCTCATTAAGACTCAATTATTGCTGTGGCTGTTGAGTAGAGGCGGCGGCAAGTTGTGCGGTTAGTTGCGCGTTGGAACCCTGCCTACGGAACTTTTTTTTTTAATTTATCTTTATTACTACTAACGCAAACGAGAGCGTAGCGCGAGCTGCATTTGGTGTTGGAATAAGAGGGTTCAGTGTATCCCCTAGTCATCCGATGGTTCCAATTATGACTCAAGAGCTGTTTTTAAAAATAATAATCGAGGATTAGTTTCGTGTTCTGTGGCTAGTGTAAGAAATGATCAGGTGACACCAAAATGCTTATTGCATTTCCGAAGGCCAATCGTTAGTGAATTGTTCGGCATATACCGCATGGTCAGTAAAGCAGTTCGCTAAGGCGGCTCTATTATGCATCATGTAAGGCAAATAAGTGCAGAGTATGCAGTCGTTCTCATTACAAACTACCCTTGACTCTGCAATGGATCTGGTCCGCACAGTGTCTGCCAGTGTAATTCTAACTACAGCAGTCGTTAGTGTCAAAAGAAGAATTGACAATTTTTCTTTGGCAACAACTTTACGTTTCTTGAACTTCTCGCTTTCGGTCAGATTAAACAAGGCCCGAATTGTCCGATTCTTCAAAAAAAATATTGTTTTCTGAATTGTCTCAAGACGTTTCACGCCGACTGTTGTTGATCTGAGTTATTAAGCAGACCCTTGTACCTCGAAAGACAACTTTGTAAAAATTTTGGTCATTGGAAGAGATGTCTGATATATATAATAAGAATCCATGTACTTCACACTACTTCAGTCCGTATCAGTGTGTAAGACCACAAAACACTTCGTTTTAGTTACGCGTTGTTTTTGACGCGTCCTGTCGGACTTCGTCTCAAATTGCATTAAATGATCTTCTTAATGTTGGACTAACCATTCAGGAGGAGCCATATTCATATTCAAAAATACGCCTTGACAGTTGACATTAAAAAGATGAACAGGCCGGTCATGGTGCATTAAACATATCGAGATTTCCATCCGTCTCTCAGGTCCGTCAGTTTTAACAACGAAACATACGGTACTGCGACTGTCCCGTTTTTGGCAATACGGTGTTTAACAATTCCAAGTGAGATGAGCGAGTCTTCCAACTTTTAGGTCGATAATTTACTGACAGCGTCCTACATGCCTAAACTACCGTCAGATGATTACGGCAGGTTTCGAACTAACCAAATGGTTTTCGCTGGCCGAGCAGATAAACCCAGTCCAAGAAGGGAACTTGCCTGCCTCAGCGACTCATCAGGCTGGGGGCGGCACCCAGCCAAACGCTGACGCCCGTGCCAGCACCAGCTCCTCCGTGCCCGAAAAAAGGGCAAACAACAATGCCCCCACTGGAGGAAAGAACCCACCCCCCATCGTTCTAAATCGGGTCAGCGACATCAACGACGTGTGGCTCCTACTATCCGAAGTAGCGGATAACTTGACCATCAAATCCAACCTAGGTAGGACTATGCGACTCCTAGCCAATGATGTGCCCACATACTGGGCCATCATACAGATACTGGGTGAACACAAAATTGAGTTCTACTCATACCAGCTGCAGGAGGAGAAGCCCTACCGCATAGTTATCAAAGGCCTTCACCACTCCACACTCAACCAAAAACTCATCGACGACCTGCGGACCCAGGGCCATACCGTTCACCACTTGCACAATCCGAGCAGCAAAGCTACCAAGGAGCCCATGAACATCCACTTCATCAACTTGCAGCCGGCGGCCAACAACAAGGAGGCTCTTACCATCAGGAAGCTGTGCAAGCAGGTGGTCAAGGTTGAGGCTGCTCGAAGGGTGCGGTGCAATGCCATAGATGCCAGGAGTACGGGCACACGGCCACATACTGTAGAAAACAACACAAATGCGTTAAATGCGGGCTCAATCATCGCTCTGCTGATTGCACACGACCCGACTCAGTTTCGGCAACATGCGTCCACTGCGGTGGTAACCACCCTGCCAACTATAAGGGCTGCGAGTGGTTCACCGAATATACAAAGCGTGCGGGAGCCCCAAAGCCCGCAAAAATGAAAAATCATGGCATATATAATTGTTCCCGATTTGGAAACTTGTAGCCTGCATTACGGCTTAGGGAGGCAAAACGACCCTCATTGTGCTTGAATTGCCTAAAGAAAGGCATCATTCCCTGCTGCATTTAAATAATTCTGGTTTTCCGTCTAGTCAGCTGA